TGGCTGTTGGGGCTTTGGGGGTCTCAGGGTCTCAAGGTTAGGGTTCGCCACCGATAAAACAAAAAAACACAGCAAAAACATCAGAAGAGTGCCCACTCTCTCAAACTTGGAGCCCAAAGACGAAGACCCCTAAACCCTATAAATTCCAAGCCCCTAAACTCTCCGAAAACTGTGTATCTTGAACCCGGACCGGGAGAAGCCCTGAAACGCTCAAGCCTAAGACCCACTGAATGCGCCCAAACCACCCGAAACATCCCAAATCCCTAAAAATCTAAGCCCTTTAGGGTTTTAGGGTTCAGGGTTAAACCCCCCATGAAAACTCCTTAATCCTTAAAGCCTACGACTCCTAAATGCCCCCACGAGCACAACTCTCCTGAACCCCTGAACCCGTGCGGAATCCTTCTATCACCCCAGGTTTAGGGTTTAGGGTTAAGGGGGTTTAGGGGTTCAGGGTTTACCTGTTGCCCAAAAGACCTACAAATTTCAGCAACTAGATATAGAAACCATATCAAGGAGCCCTAAAAAGGCAGGTCTTTCCGGCTACAGGTAGGGTTTAGGACACCCCTAAACCCTATCAACCCTACACCCTATCAATCCTATCAACCCTAAACCCTGAAACCTAAACCCTGAACCCTGTCAACCCTATCAACCCTAAGCCCTAAACCCTAAACCCTAAGACCTAAAACTCGGCAGGACGGGCTTCCGGCCTGGTAATTCCAATAACGGAAGCGAAGGGTCAAGATGAAACCCGTGTGGCGGTAGCGAATCCTCGGGGGTAGTTAGTATAGGGTCTAGGGTTTAGGTATATACTATAATGTATTGACTACAGTGTACCAGAATGTACTATAATAATGCACTAACATATGCTACCATGTTCTACTCTACTGAAGATTTAAGAGCTGAACGGCTTTAGGATGCTTGAAAAGCTTTGGGCTTCGAGGGTTTAAGGGCTTGCTCAGCCCTTTCGGGCGGGGGGGGGGGGGGGGGTAGGGTGTATAGGATTTTGATTTAGGCTTTCGGTCTAGCGAATTATTTCAGCAAAGAACTGCTGGTTAACTGCTGGTTGCTTTCCAAAGGAAGTAGCGTGTGGCATCGCCAGACATGTTCAATCCCGAACCAGCATTCAACCAGAAAACGCGAGTTTCCGGCCAAATATTCTTGGACCGCAATGTCTCTTGGAACTTCACTAGCAACTTGTGGTGTGTGATTCTGCTCAAAAGCCGGGAAACGTAGTTATCACCGCCCACAGCCTCTCGCTCTCTGCTGCTATTTCCCTGGGACAGGGACCCCCTAAACCCTAAACCC